AAACCATGTATGATTCCATTTATATGAACCTCCAGAATAGGTAAATCTGTACAGACAGAAAGGAAATTAGTTGTTGCTGGGGCTAGGGGAGAGAGAAATGGGGAGTGACTGTTAATGGATACGGGGTTTCTTCTGGGGTGATGGAAATGTTCTAGAATTAGTGGTGGCGGTTGCACACTCTGTAAATATACTAAAAACCACTGAATTGTACACTTTAAGAGGGCGCATTTTATAATATGTGAATTATTCCTCAATAAAGCTGTTATTTAAAATGCCCTCCCCGAAGCTCCAGGCTCAGGCTTTCTGACTCAGAAACCACACACTTAACACACTCCTCAGGAGGTTGTTATAATTGGGAAAACTTGGGAGGGAAGTGCTTTGCCTCAATGCAGTCCAGCTCTGGTTCCAGATTCTGTCCAGAATAAATGAAATTATATGCAGACTCCCAGGATCCGGAGAGGACTTCCAAATGCCCAGCTCCCCACCTGGCCTCTCAAAGTGGCGGGAACAAGACAGTAAACAGACAGGAAAAGTAAAGGGGAAGCAGGAGGAGAATTGGGAATGATGGAGGTGGGGTGCTAGTTGAGATGGGGTGGGGAGGCCCTCACAACCATGATTTACTGTTGTAAGAAATGCCTCTGTGAAAAGGTTAGAATTCCCCATGTGGTAATGAATTAAGAGTTGGAGATAAGGGCAGGCTGAGTGGCTCAGTTGGTTAAGAGCGGGAGCTCTGAGCAACAGGGTCGCCAGTTCGATTTCCACATGGGCTAGTGAGCTGCGCCGGAGCTGAGCTGCCGCTGAGCTGCTAACAGGTAGCAGGATGGCTCAGCTGGTGAGAACATGTGCTCCTAACAAAAAGGTTGCTGGTTTGACTCCCACATGGGATGGTGGGCTACACGCCCACCCCATCCCTCGTCCCCCGCTCCACCAACCCCTGCAACTAAGATTGAACACAGCACCTTGAGCTGAGTGGACGCAAGCTGCCAATGGGCAGCCTGATGGCGACTGGACTTGGAGCTAAGCTTACTGCGCCCTCCACAACTAAGATCGAAGGACAACAACTGTTCTCCTTTCCCAATTCACCAACACTGTTCCCCTTCCCCAATCCCCCAATAAAATCTTAAAAAAAAAAAAAGAGTTGGAGATAAAATAAATGGGGGTAAAGGGATAATTCTCCCAAGCAGAAGAATTCAAGTTAATATATATGTGAATGCCCTGCCCTCAAGGTGGCGGCAAATAACTCCCCACTCCTGAGTGTGGGCTGCCCAGAGAGACTTTCTTCCAAAGAGAACAGGCTGGAAACAGGGAAAAACAGAGTGATGTGACAGTGGAGAAACCTGAGCAACAAGACCTCAGCCAGGTGACCAAGGTCAATATCAGCAGTGATAAGCCATGGTGAAGGCATGCACCCTTGATATAATGGGTGAGAAGGGCACTTTACCTCCCAAACCTACAACCCCAGTCTAACCATTAGAAAAACATCAGACAGGGCCGGCCAAGTGGCGCGTTGGTTAAGAGCTGGCTTGGGATGCCAGAGGGCCCCGGTTCGGATCCCACATATGAAGGCCAGTGACATTGCCATATGTAGCCAGCAGCCAGCGTGAGCGGCCAGCAGCCGCAGTGAGCGGCCGTCCAGAAGCCGGCGACTGATCTGCCTTGCCCGGGAAAAGCGCAATGATGGTGCCAACTTGGGCCAGTGAAGCAACATCCTCTACAACTAGACTTAAGAACAAAAAGACAGCAACTTGTCTGTTCCCCTT